TCCTTGCACTCCCGCCGGCCTTGCAGGTCCACCGCCGGGCCCCTCATGGGGCTCGGCAGTGGAGCTGCAAGGCCACCGCCGGCGGCCGGAACCGTTGGGGGTGGGGTGTGTGGCCTTATGACACACTTCCGGTGATGTCAGGGTGTGTGGCATATGCTAATGCGTTATGCTAATGAGTCCCCCTAGCTCTTTTTCTACGAAACGACCCCTGGATACAAATACTACTTCATGACTAAATTACAAATCAGAGTAGTGACATCTGGGATTTATGAGCTCATCTAGTGTAACTGAGAGACTTCGGGGGGGGGGAGCCCTAAGGATCGACTGATGGACTCTTGCTGATCTATTTATGCCTGTCCGTCTTGCAGCAGATCCGCCCGTGAGGTTGCAAGAGGGCAACTGTCCGGGGTGTTCTCTTTTGGAGGTGCTCCTCCTCCAAGTGTCTTTGTGGGGTTGAGGAAGAACAAAGCAAAACGCATTCCAGGGAATGCAACCGGGACCAGCGAGCTGGCCTGACCAGGATATTATTCCAGGGATCTGACTTGCTTTGCCCTGTTCCTTGGCTGGTCTCCCTTCGGACCCCACCAATAGCCAGAGCTAGATGGGGGAGCACAGGCTGATCCCTGCTAAAAAAAACTGAACCTTTTCAGAAACTGGCTCAAGTCCTCAGCACAGATGTGTCAGGAGCTAGCGGAAGATGAGTTTGTGGGGTCAGCAAGGATTGAGTGTATGCATGGCAAAAAGTGTGGTTGGGCTGCATGGCTACAGTGTCAAGGTAGGGCTGGGAAAGTAAAAGGTAAAGGTTTCCTTTCCTCGAAAGCCAGTCGAATCTGACTCTAGGGGGCGGTGCTCATCTGTTTCCAAGCCGAAGAGTCAGTGCTGTCCAAAGACTTTTCTGTGGTCATGTGGCCGACATGACTAAACGCCGAAGCACATGGAACGCTGTTACCTTCCCACCAAAGCGGTACCTATGTATCTACTTGCAATTTCTTGCTTTTGAACTGCTAGGTCGGCAGGAGCTGGGGCCAGAGACGGGAGCTCACTCCGTCATGCGGCACACTCGGGCCCCGAACTGCCGAACTACAGACCTTCCGGTCTGCAGCTCAGCGTCTTAACCTCTGAGCCCCCGCAGCCCCCGCATAAACATATGAGGTCATAGTCAATAATCAAGTATCAATTAATTAACATAGCAGAACATCTATAACACAACTCTGTTCCAAGTGGTCTTTGTTTTGAGCCATAAAATTGAAAACAGGGTACCAAAAATTATAATCATCAACAGAGGCAGAGTAAGGGTCTTTATTTGAGGTTTGTATCAGTATCCTTTCCATTGTGAGATAATCCCATATGTTCTTGTACCAAATCTCCAGGAGGATTGTAAATTTATATAGAAACCAAATCATTCTTAATTTGGATAAGCTTCCCGCTTCCTGTTCTGATGACAATCTGCTTTTTGCCTAACCAAAGCGGTACCTATTTATCTACTTGCAATTTCTTGCTTTTGAACTGCTAGGTCGGCAGGAGCTGGGGCCGGAGACGGGAGCTCACTCCGTCATGCGGCACTCGGGTCTCGAACTGCCGAGCTATCCACCTTCCGGTCTGCAGCTCAGCGTCTTAACCTCTGAGCCACCGTGGCCCCAAGGACTGGGGAAGCCCAGGTGCAAATTCCAACTTGGCTCGCTGGGTGTCCTCGAGTCAATCACACGCCCAGCCCAACCTAGCTCATGCGATGGAGGAGAGGACACACATGAACACATGAAGCTGCCTAATACTGAATGAGGCCAATGGTCCATCGAGGTCAGTACTGCCCACTGGCAGTGGCTCTCCAGGACCCAAGACAGAAGTCTTTCACATCAACTACTGCTTGGTCTTTTTAACTAGAGATGCCAGGGATCGAACCTGGGACCTTCTGCCTGTCAAGTAGATAATCTACCACTGAGCCACAGCCCTACCTACAACCACCTTGAACTCCTTGGAAGACGGGCAGGGAAAATGTCTAATAGCAGGCCTGTAGCTACTGTGGAGCTGTAAAAAAAAAAAGATAGGAGCTGCGGTGGCTCAAGTGGTTAAGACGCTGAACTGCAGGCTGTGGAAGGTCAGTAGTTCAGCGGTTCGAGACCTGAGTGTGCCGCATGATGGAGTGAGCTCCCGTCTCCAGTTCCAGCTCCTGCCAACCTAGCAGTTCGAAAGCAAGAAATTGCAAGTAGATAAATAGGGACCACTTCAGTGGGAAGGTAACAGCGTTCCGTGTGCCTTGGTGTTTAGTCATGCCGGCCACATGACCACGGAAATGTCTTCGGACAGCGCTGGCTCTTCGGCTTTGAAACGGAGATGAGCACCGCAACCCTAGAGTCGGACTCGACTGGCTTTCGAGCAAGGGAACCTTTACCTTTACTAGCTACGGTGGGGCATTTCGGGGCCCAGACCCCCGACTTTTCACCAGCCCTCCCCAACTTATTTTGTGCCACCCTTTCTCCCCCCCGGTAGCTCTCTGTATATCTCCTCGACAACTTACTTTAAATGGAAGAAGTGGGGGGGGGGCTAGCACACGCCTGCACTTCCAGCCACGAATTCACGGCTTGGGGGGCAGGCATGTGGCCCCGCTTTCCCCCCAAAGCATTTAAACTTTAAATGTTTTGAGGGAGAAGCGGGGGGGCCGTGAGTAGGGGACCCGCAAATCCATGGCTTGGAGGGAGGGCATGCCATGCGTACCTGCACTTCAAGTCGTGAGCATACAACTTAGAGTGCAGGTGAGCGGCCCCATTTCTCCCCCAAAGCATTTGAAAGGGACCCTTTAAATGCTTTGGGGGAGAAGTGGGGGCTGCGCATGAATTTCAATGCCCCCCCTTTTAAAAGGCCCCTCAAATTAAAAAAAATATCCTGGCTACCGTCCGGTCTAACAGAGAGCTTGAAAAGCAGCTGGGTCTCAGCAGGAGCATTCATTCTGCCCTTCTTCCGCACAGCTCAGGACCCGGTTTTCCCCTCCTCCACAAAACCCGGTGAGTTCGGCTAACTTAGAACCGATGTGAGTGGGCCGATGTCAGCCACTGAGCTTCAGGGCAGACTGGGGATTGGAACCTGGCTCTCCCCACTCCTAGTCAGGCCCTCTAACCACTACACAACGCCGTATCCGGGAGCTACCGAGAGATTCTTCCGAGACCATGTAGAAGGCTGGTGGGGCCAAGGGATAAGTCATTCCAGCCACAAGTCTCTCGGTTTATCTACGAGACAATGCAGCGGGAGTGCTATTTTTCATCGCTGTTGCATTGCAACAAACAGCGTTACTCAGCTTACTTAAAGCAGACAGTGACGGGGGATTCCCCGCAGGCTTTCTGTGTACTCGGTGGCTTTAAGATAGGCAAAGACCTACTTCCAGCCGAGGTGACTTCAGCAAAAGCTTCCAGCGTAGCCAGCGGGAGGCTCCCTTTTGAGTCACTAACCAGGTCCGCGGGAGTTCAGAGTCGCCCCTAATAGGCTTAGCTAATTAATCTGTTAGAGCTGTCGCAGGGCAGTGGTTCTGCCGGGCCGACCGGCGATGTTGATAAAGCGGCCGGGAGCGGATGATTAAACGCCGTGGGATAAAAATGCCGTGTGATGGGCAGCGCATTAAATTGCTTTGAGACATCCCCACAGGACAAATGCTCTTGGAGTAAAAAAAAAAGGGGGGGGATACATCCATTCTTTTCTCAGTTCTTGGCATTCGGCAGTTATCACTGCGCCGATCCGAGAGAGCGAGAGCAGGTTGACACATGGCGTGACGGAGGCTGCGGCGATCATGGGAATTACAGCTGAAGCACGGCTGTGCTTCCTACATTCTTCCTTTCCCCATGATTGCGATACCCACGGGCAGTCGGGAGGACAGGGGAACAGAGTCTCTACGGGGTGGGGAGGATGTCGCTTTGATGGGACTCATGGAAATCGTAAGAGGACATAAGAGAAGCCAACGTTGGATCAGGCCAATGGCCCATCAAGTCCAACACTCTGTGTCACACAGTGGCCAAAAATACCAGGTGCCCTCAGGAGGTCCACCAGTGGGGCCAGAACACTAGAAGCCCTCCCACTGTTGCCCCCCCCAAGCACCAAGAATACAGAGCATCACTGTGCCAGACATAAGAACATAAGAGAAGCCAATGTTGGATCAGGCCAGTGGCCCATACAATCCAGCACTCTGTGTCACACGGTGGCCAAAACCCAGGTGCCCTCAGGAGGTCCACCAGTGGAGCCAGGACACTAGAAACTCTCCCACTGTTGCCCCCCCAGCACCAAGAATACAGAGCATCTCTTGCCCCAGACTGATGGACCTCTGCTCCATATGTTTATCTAATTCCCTCTTGAAGCCATCCATGATTGTAGCCGCCACCACTTCCTGTGGCAGTGAATTCCATGTGTTAAATCACTCTTTGGGTGAAGAAGGACTTCCTTTTATCTGTTCTAACCCGAATGCTCAGGAATTTCATTGAGTGCCCACGAGTTCTTGTATTGTGAGAAAGGGAGAAAAAACCTTACTCAAGGACATAGTAGAGTATGTAAATGGGAGACCTAGGGCTCAGAGACAAGGATTTTGCATCTTGACCCATCCATAAAATGCAAACTTCAAGTTTGTGCAGCCTCAGTTCGCCTGGGGGTTATGCAGGAAAGGGAGAGGAGGTTTAACCCTTCAGTCTTCACTTGAGCTAGCCATTTGAAACCACGTCGCATCCCCTGCTCTGCCATCTGTTTTTAAAAGACACATATTTTCCCCCTTTACGATACTAATAACGGAGGGAAAGGGTGAGTATTGAATTGCAAACAGAATGGCAGCTAAAGGGTTAAATCACATGTTCCTTTGCTGCACAGTGCCAAGGCGCACTGAGGTTGCGTGAGCTTGCAATTTGCACTTTTAAAGGTATTCTTCATCTTGACCGATGGAGCCTGGACCTACAGTCCACTGTGCTGGTGAAAATTATGATCGATTATTCCTTACCATGGTAAATGCTAAGAACTGTAGCATAAAGTCCCTTGCTGTTATCAGGCAAACGGTCATATTGTGGTTTGGGCATCACAGACAACTAGCTCCGCTGTGCCTCCCTCTCTGCCTCGCAAGCATGCCAAGAGCATTTCGAAAGAACCTCGTTGATTTTGGCAGGCCGGAGAGGCGACTGAACGACCACCGGCAAAGCTCCTCGCAGGTATTTGGTCCGCGACACAAATTTTAATTCCGGAGCAATCTAACCAAGGCCAGGCAGCACAGTTTAAAACGGCCTGATGCCATCTCTCCGTTCCTCGTTATGGCAACAGATAAAATCGCCCTCGTTTCATCTGGAAATGAGATTCTAAAAGACAGACTCTCCATGCATGGACAGGAATGAATTTCCCACAAACAATCGCGGCAACAGCCTTTGCGACCGTTCGGGGATTCTGCAGTTCAGCGTCTTAACCACTTGAGCCGAGTCAGAGGGCTGGCCGAGGTGGCAGGAAGCTTGCCAATTATCCAGGTGAAAAACAGAAAAGAATTTGCCAGGGGTTAAAGTTTTGCCCTCCCTTCGGGTCGTGTAATCCCTTGGAGACTAGCTGAGAAGGAAGGACGGTGTTCAGAGCTCCGTCCCACGACAGTTTTATAGGGTAGCTGTGTTGGTCTGCAGCAGAATCGTTGGATTTGAGTCCAGTAGCCCCTTAGAGACCAAAGGGATTTGGGGGGGGTTTGACAGTCAAAGCTCACTTCATCAGATACAAGTAATAACGGAGATCCCTTATACCCCGCTCTGAAGGTTTGGGGGTTTTTGCAAAGAAGGAGAGGACGCAGAGGTTACAATGTAATCACCTTGATTAGAACAGAAGGGGGATTTTCTAATTTTCTGCCCCCAAGTCATCTCCCTTGTGCTCCAATCAAGCGGATTACAACGTACATTATAACTTCTGACACCCGAGTTCCTTCTCTGCAACACCCCTCCCTACCTTCTGAGTGGGATATGAGGACTCATGGGTCTCAGTTCGAACTTCTATCCGACGAAGGGAGTTTTGACTCCCGAACGCTTCTGCTCCAAAAATCTTGATGGTCTCCAGGGTCCTACTTGACTTGAATCTAGCTGTTCTCCTGCAGACTGACATGGCTACCTGTTGAAGGTAAAAAGGTAAAGGTTCCCTTGCTCAAAAGCCAGTCGAGCCCGACTCTAGGGTTGCGGTGCTCATCTCCGTTTCAAAGCCGAAGAGCCAGCACTGTCCAAAGACGTTTTCCTTTGTCACGTGGCCGGCACGACTAAACACCAAGGCGCACGGAACGCGGTTACCTTCCCACCGAAGTGGTACCTATTTATCTACTTGCAATTTCTTGCTTTCAAACTGCTAGGTTGGCAGGAGCTGGAACCAGAGACGGGAGCTCACTCCGTCATGCGGCAACCCAGGTCTCGAACTCCTGAACTACCGACCTTCCACAGCCTGCAGTTCAGCGTCTTAACCACTGGAGCCATCGCAGCTCCGTTGAAACCTGTTGAAACAGCCTTTAAAAAGAGCTCCGTGATCGTGCAACTATCCCCCCTCCCTTAAATGAAGGAAAGATTTCTGGTGCTTTGAGACCAGAGGATACTCTTGGTGGTCAAGAAGTGTTCTCTTTGAATCTCTGTGCGATACCTGTCAATCAAACAGGAGGTAGCTTCGTGGCTGATGGAAGAAGAATATGTCTGCCAGTCACCGTCGGGTAGCTCCTTGATTTGCACTGTGAAGTACCGGATCGGAGAGGAACCGTCGCTTCCCGGACGCCAATGGAGCTGCAAACTGCGGGACGTCACTTCCGACTGGGGGACTCTCAGTTCTCTGGCAGGTTCTGGCCGTTCTGAAATTAAACATCAAGCCCTCGTTACTTTCACGGGAAATTCAAGCCATCAGGCCTCTAGACACAGTAACGGAATAACCCCCTGACTCTCGTAGGCGATGACGACCGCACCGAGCCCCTGCCCACGTTGGCAGCGCAGCCGGCGTTGCCAGCATCACCAGAGCTGGAAGCCAGCCCCTCAGACTCCTCAGGAATTGACACCTTGCCACCGCCAGCGCCTGAGCTGGTAATCCCCACACCTCGTCCAGCCGCGGCTGACAAGGTGCAAACAGAAAGCCCACCTGAGTTACCTCCATGGGTGGCTCAGTTGAAAGAGAGGCTCCACAGGGACTTAGCGGCCCGCCGCCATCATGCACGCTGGCAGGGAAGGCAGGCGCCGAGCCCTGAGTACTGACAGGAGCAACGCTGCCACTAAGGGAAGCACTGCCGGAGGACTACAGAGATCCCTCTTGGCGTCGGGCTCACCGTGGGAGCAACAAGTCACATCTGTGCTGGCCTCATGCCTATCCTCGGTTCCTGTTCCTGTACCTCGCTCCTGCTTGGATTCCTGGATTCCTGACCTCCCGCTTCGGACGACTAGTCTCTTGGACTCTCGACTCGGCTCCTGTTCTGTCTCTTCTGGCTACGACCCCCGGACCAGACCTGCCTCCTGGCCCAGCCCAGCCCGTGACACTGACACAATGCAGGCTGCTTCCGTCCACACCCGGAACAACCCTTTCTGTGTTGGGACTCTCTGCTACTCTGGATAGCAGATCCAGGATACAGGGCTGTCACAGAGGTGGACAAAGGCCTACTCGTTCCCCTTCAGAGTCGAAGCAAGGTCACGGGTACAGATTAAACACTCGCCGAATGCCCCTTGCCAGTGAAAGCCTCAACCCTCCATGTGACCGCGATAATTTCCAGACTGCACGGACAGAACGTGCGTGTGGATCTTGCCCCACCTTCTATTCCCCGTGATCTCTGCCAAGCTCCGGCACCTGGCGCCTCTACCCTGCCAAGTTCCCCGTGTGTGCCTTGCAAGCACTGGAGGTCGACTTCAATTTGTCAATGAGACGTGAGTTGGAGAAGGGGGGAGGGGAAGAAAAGATGGCATGGAGAGGACAGGGGAGGGGAGGCGCGCAAGCCAAAGGGCGAGGTGGAATCCCTGGTTCTGGACTTTCAGGGAGCAGAACTCCAAGTCCGGAATCGCTTTCTATTAAGCACAGCTGAGAGCTGGTTTGGTGTAGTGGCTAGGAGTGTGGACTCTAATCTGGAAGAAGAAAAAGAAGAGATTGGATTTATACCCCGCCCTTCACTTGGAGTCTCAGAGCGGCTTACAAACTCCTTTCCCCTCCCCTCCCCACAACAGACAGCCTGTGAGGTGGGTGGGGCTGAGAGAGCTCTGAGACAAAGTGCTGTTTTTCAAGGACAGCTGTGCCTGAGCTTGTGACTGACCCAAGGTCACATCAGCAGGTGCAAGTGGAGGAGTGGGGAATCAAACCCGGTTCTCCAATATTAGAGTCCACACACTTAACCACAACACCAAACTGGCTCTCGGGTTGGATTCCCCCCTCTTCCACATGTAGCTGCTGGTGTGACCTTGGGTCAGTCACAAGTTCTCTCAGAGCTGTTCTCTCAAGGACAGTCCTCAAGAGAGATCTCTCAGCCGCTCAGTACTTTTCAAGCCTAACAATCCCTTCTCAACGCAGAGCATTTATGCTGGCCACATTCAATATATTTCCTTCGACCACGGTCACAGGGAGATACAAGGGCATCCCCTATGAGGCAAGACTCTGCAGATGTCTTAGCAAAGAACCTGACTCTGTTCAGCATATCCTCTTAAACTGCCCGCTGTTTACACAGCTACGTTCAGACTTGATTAGGCCTCTCCTTCAACACTCTAAGGGTGCGACCAATAGGGGTACTGAATTCTTACTAGTGGATAAAAACCCCGAAGTTACTGAGCAGGTGGCAGAGTTCCTGGAAAATGTACTTAGGGGCCAAGAAAAAGAGGAAAGAAAAGAGGAAAGAGGAAAGGAGGTGGAGAGTGAGTGAGAGAGAGAAGGTGTATCTATGATCCCTCTCCGGATAGTTAAGTTTCTTAACTGCAACTGTTTTAAGTACTGTGATACTCGAGATTACTGTTCCGAACTTTTATCACCTTGCCCTATTGTTATTGCTATAGGCAATGTTACAAATCGGCTGTACTCTGTTTCTATTTGTTGGCATATGGGCTGATTTGTGCTGTTTTCTTTTTAAAGTTATTGTTATGCCAATAAAAGTTATTGGAATCGGGTCTCTCAGCCCCACCGACCTCACAGGGTGTCTGTTGTGGGGAGGGGAAGGGAAAGCCGCTCTGAGACTCCTTCAGGTAGTGAAGGTCAGGGTATAAATCCAATCTCTTCTTCTTCTCTTCACACGGGCATACTGTACTCTATATAGCTGATTCTTATTATAGTACTCGCTCCCCCCTTTTGCAACCAACTTTTTTGGGAGGGGGATGCATAAAAAAGCAGAAAGGGGGGAAATGAAGCAAAAACGTGGCTGTTGTAGCAGACACAGGTGTCAGAGGTTTGAAGAACGGAAATCTACCCATCGGTTCACAGCAGGGGAAAGCCACTAAGAACGGGGGAGGGACTAAGGAGTAAGAGAAAATAACAGGGTTGAGTGAGACAGAAAAAACCTCCACAGCAGGGATGCCGTTGAAACTCATCCCATCTGAATTTCTCCAACAGGAGCCGGAGCTCCGAACTGGCTGGACTACTTTTTGGCACCCGACATATCAGAACTCTTTCCTTCCCGTATTTCCGCTCCTACCCCCACGTTAGGTACCGAGCACTGTGCAAGCGTGGCTTGCCGTGATGTTCGCTTCCACCTGGACTTTCACTCTTCTCTGCATTGCCAGTCTGTGTGTGCTCACTCACAGAAGGCTGTGATACAGCAATCTTGGTGTGGATCACAAATAGGGCGGCATTAAGATCCTTTCATGTGTTTGATGTGCTGGGACACAGAGGGGGTCTTGATCGTGTGTGTGACGCCGATCTCATCTGAGAGCCAGTTCGGTGTAGTGGTTGAGAGTGCGGACTCTAATCTGGCAGGACCGGGTTTGATTCCCCACGCCTCCGCATGCAGCTGCTGGTGTGACCGTGGGTCAGTCACAAGTTCTCTCACAGCTGTTAACTCAAGGGCAGTTCTCAAGAGAGCTCCCTCGGCCCCAACCTACCTCACAGGGTGTCTGTTGCGGGGAGGGGGAGGGAAAGGATATCAGATGAGCCCTGCTGGATCAGGCCAGTGGTCCATCTAGTCCAGCATCAGGCCTTACACAGTGGCCAACTAGATTCTACAGAGGTCCAGCAACAGGACACCCTGGATGGCCGCTAAGAGCGCCTACAGGGAAGAGGAGGATTGTGGTGACAGTATGAACCCCCACACACCAGGCTGTGGCTCAGTGGCAGAGCCTCTGCTTGGCACGCAGAAGGTCCCAGGTTCAATCCACGGCATCTCCAGTTGAAAGGACCAGGCAGGAGGTGATGGGAAAGACCTCCGCCTGAGACCCTGGAAAGCCACTTCCAGTCTGAGTAGACAATACTGACTTTGATGGGTCAAGGGTCTGATTTGGTATAAGGCAGCATGAGTTCATGTGACCTCAGGCCGGAGGTCATGCGCAGTCACACATCTCTCTTCTAAGAGAAGGGAGACAGGAAACTGAGCGAGTAGAACAAAGGCAGACACAGGAACTGAGGGGAAAAGGAAGGGAAAAAAGAGAATAATGCTCAAAAATTAATCTGGATCCCTCATTGCAAGCGAGGGCTAATGGCTAGTCTGGGGTCTAGGGGACCTCAGTTAAATAGGTTTGTTGACAAAGTGGGGTTTATTCACTGAACACTGGAATACGATTCTCTGACTCTGTACGGCCGTATGTATGGTTTTCTCGTACTGAAAACGATAACCACAAAGGCTGGCCCTCATCTGAGACGGTGGAAGGCCACAGTGCCTCTCATACAGTATACTCTTCCACATGCAGCTGTTGGGTGACCTTGGGCAAGCCACAGTTCTCTCAGAGCTGTTCTCTCAGAGCTCTCTCAGCCTTGCCGACCTCACAGGGTGTCTGTTGTGGGGAGAGGAAGGGAAGGAGATTGTAAGCCGCTCTGAGACTCCAAGTGAAGGGCAAGGTATAAATCCAATCTCCTCCTCCTCCTCCTCTTCTTCTTCTTCTACTTCTTCTTCTACTTCTTCTTCTTATCTGATTAGATCAAGCTAGCCTGAGCTAAATGCACAGACATTAATACCCTGATACAATCCTATGGGTTTCTGTAGGCTTAGGCCACAGTAACTTCTTCTGTCAGTCACAAGTTCCCTCGGAGCTGTTCTCTCAAGAGCAGTTCTCAAAAGAGCTCTCTCAGCCCGCCTACCTCACAGGGTGTCTGTTGTGGGGAGGGGAAGGGAAGGAGATTGTAAGCCACACTGAGACTCCGAGTGAAGGCCATGGTAAAAATCCAATCTCCTCCTCCTCCTCTATCATCACAAGGAACCACTGGGATTGGTGATGGATCACAACAATCACAAACACTTGCACAGTTGGTCCCAGGGACGTCATGCACAGTTTTCCCCCACTTCCTCGGTGTGTACCCTCACAGGATAGGTCTTGCGGGCAAAAAAGCCTACGCACCTCCTCCATCCGAGATTTGTGACCATGAGGCTGCAGATTCAAAACAGCTGATTCCACAGCCAACGGAGAATCATAGAATCACAGAATCATAGAGCTGGAAGGGGATCTCTGGGGTCATCTAGTCCAGCCCCCTGCACAATGGAGGAAATCCACAAATACCTCCCCCTCCACACCCGCAGTGATCGCTCTTCCAAACCCAGAAGACGACAAATAGCCTCCAGGATCTCCAGCCAAACTAGTCTGGAGGAAAATGGCTTCCTGACCCCCAAAGCGCTGATCGGCATTTCACTGGGCATGTAAGAAAGGGCCACAAGAACTAAGCACTGAGGCGACCCTTCCTGCCCTCCCTTCTCACGATCTGCCTAAGTTCACAGAATCAGCATTGTTGTCAGGTGGCCATCGAGCCCTGTTTGAAAACCTCCAAAGAAGGAAAGCCCACCACCTCCCGAGGAAGCCTGCTCCACTGAGGAATCGCTCTGTCAGGAAGTTCTTCCTAAACCTGGGTGGGCCCCCCAAAAAAAGTTCACCCGCCTGGATGGAGGTCTCCCACCTACTCGGCACCCATCGATTTCCAGAGCCGACCTCAACAGACTGAATAATAATTGTTTAATTGTTCATCATGGAGATTATCGATTGGTATTTAAAATGGGTGGCATGTAATAAAGCGGGCATTGATCGGAGACACCGCGGCGACCTGCGTCGGGGGGCCCCCCCGGTTCGATTCCGCTCCATCAACACCTGTGTTGGCACACACGCACCTCAGGCCGCCTCATCTCCCAGCAGCTTTGCACAGAGAACAGCTTGTGTTCCCCCCCCCCCTCCGTGACCTCCCCAACTGCTCCGAAAACATTCGGCTTTTATGGCACGGTGTCTCTCCGGCAGTCCCCGCGGTTGCTTGACGGTGCCAAAAGAATTGCCAGCCATTAGCCTCGGAGAGGCTTCAGTGCCGACGTCTGAAATGATGCAGAGGTCAGCTCTAAAGTGCCCGGGGTTATTCTGCCGGAGGGAGGGAGTGCTTGCTGATGGCCCGGGGGACCCCACGCTTCCTTCGGATGGATGTATCTTAAAACAAGTGACATAGAACTCTTTGGGTTTGTTCTCCCCCCCTGCCCCCTGTCACAAAGTTTTTAGTCTGTTTCTCCCCGGTGGTTTCAAAGGTCTTTCCTCGCGGCCTCACAAACCTCCCCGCTGCAAGGAGAAAGCCATTTCTGTTCAGGTCCTGCAGAGCCTAGATGGATCTGAAGAGCAACTATTTATGTGCAAAAGACAAAAAGATCTAGACGTCTTGAATCAGCAGGATGCCCTTGCCCTAGGAAGGCTCATGCACAAAGTGGTTGCAGGGTCCAAACCACATGCCACGCAAGGTTGGATGGTCCTGATGTATTTGTAGAAACCTTAAAAAGCAGCTGGTGGGGGCCCTGCAGTTTGGATTGGGGTCTTGGCATAGGGGAGAAGGCTCGACCCTTCCTGTGCTGTTGTCTTGGCAGAAACCCCCTACCTGCATTGCTACTGGCCCCGATATGGAGAAAGAGAGACCAAAATTCCTCCCCACCCCCACATAGGAGAACAGCAGACTGAGGAAAAGGCAACTTCTCCTAGGAAAATGATGGAAGAAGAGGAAGAGGAAGAAGAGGAGAAGGAGGGGATTGGATTTATACCCCACCCTTCACTACCAGAAGGAGTCTCGGAGTGGCTTACAATCTCCTTTCCCTTCCCCTCCCCACAACAGACACCCTGTGAGGTAGGTAGAAGAAGAAGAAGAGATTGGATTTATACCCCGCCCTTCACTTGGAGTCTCAGAGCAGCTTACAAACTCCTTTCCCTTCCCCTCCCCACAACAGACACCCTGTGAGGTGGGTGGGGCTGAGAGAACTCTGACAGAAACTGCTCTTTTTCAAGGACAGCTGTGCCAGAGCTTGTGACTGACCCAAGGTCACATCAGCAGGTGCAAGTGGAGGAGTGGGGAATCAAACCCGGTTCTCCCAGATTAGAGTCCGCGCACTTAACCACTACACCAAACTGGCTGAGAGAGCTCTTTCGAGGACTGCTCCGGAGAGAACAGCTCTGAGAGAACTTGTGACTGACCCACGGTCACACCAGCGGCCACATGCGGAGGAGTGGGGGATCAAACCCGGTTCCCCTGGATTAGAGTCCACGCTCCTAACCACTACCCCAAATTGATTAGGCCCCCCTCAAAGACATGGCCCCTGTTGAAAAAGGGCCTCCCTCCCAGCAGCAAAAGTGTTTGTAGGTGAAGGTCCTCGGATCTGCCCTTTCGAATGATCAAAACCCTGACCACAATTCATCACAAACACAATTTATACTGTCCCTGCCCTCCGCACCAATACTCACTATCTTTCCCCATTTTAAAATGACTGCAAAGAAGGTGCCTGGAGGACAAGAGCCTTGGGCGGGGGAATGAGTCAGGATAAACATTCAGGCACAACCGAGGCCAGTGGCTTCCATTTGGGAAGTAAGCCGCCAAAGGAACGGTTAATTAAAACAGAATTAAGGAAACGGTGTTGGAGAAGGGCGCTTGTTTCGTGCAACTGGTGACACATGGCACAGTACCCAACTGGTGATGATAGCGCAGGGACTCCAGGGTTCCCTCTAAGCTGAGTTAGTGTGAGCCAGCTCACAGTTTTTAGCCTCCGGCTCACACATTTTTGTCTCTGCTCAGCGGCTCAGGAAAGAGGGCTCCAGGGCAAACTAATTTACACAGTCGCCAAATCACTTGCTCACAAGTTTAATGCCAGTCACTCACAAAGTAGGATTTTTGCTCACAGGACTCCACAGCTTAGCAGGAGCACTGGCGGGGACAATGTCATTCCGCACCAATATCACAAAATCAACAGCACGACCGACAAGACGGATTGCATCATGGGAAATGTAGTGTCCCTACGAGAGCAGCAGAGTTCCGAGGGAAGGCGTGTGGATTCAGGGCACCCAACGTGCATCTGCTTTGCACCAATGGTATTCCAAAGAAAACATTTTCGCCGTTCTGTTAACGGTCTGGTTGGAAGACGGTCTGGTTGGAAGATTGTTTTGCGTGGGCAAAACCAACAGCTGCATCGTAGGATTCAGTCCCAGCTCTTCTGCAGAAAGTCCCGAGTAGCTTACGTGCCACTCCCAACTGTTTCCCATTTGGGCATTCACACTTCCTTCGCTTCAGCTCCGCGGCCGCACGACAATGCTTCCGCTGGATCCACATGATGCTATACCACAGACGCCAATGAGCTGTTGGGGACACTGTTAGCAGCCAAGCACAGATCTGTAGGGACCGGGGGCCGACCAAACAAAGTGGGGCAATGGCAGGCTTTTCCATTGTACCTTTCTTCCACGTGATTCTTTCCAATGTTCCCTCTAAGCTCTGGAGTCTTGTGAGCAAAAATTATCCTTTCTGAGCGACTGGCATGAAAGTTGCGAGCGAGGGATCTGGCTACTGCATCAGTTAGTTTGCTCTGGAGCCCTCCTTCCTGAGCAAAGACAAAACTGTGTGAGCCGGAGGCTTAAAAACTGTGAGCCAGCTCACACTAATTCAGCTTAGAGGGAACACTGAATTCCTAACTACTTTTCTTTCTCTCGCTCTCTAACTAAACTCAGGACATGATACGGGCAGTGCACATGGCCACACACGGGAGGTTGTGTTTTAGATAATGGCTCTGGCATTCCAAGCACCCCGAAGAGCTTAACAATAATAGGGCCTATTGTTATTGCGGCAAGAAAAGGAAATTACGCGATGCGGCTTATTATGTGCTCAGCCGTATCTCCCGCACATCCTTGTTTAATTGGCTTTAGCATGGACGGAGAGAATGTTTTCCAGTGCACCGGCATGCTCGCCCCTGGTACACGAAAGAGTTCCGAGTAGGGTCATTTTAGTCTCTTCAACTGATAAGCTCCACGCCTCTTTAAATTTCTCACCCATCACGGCATGGTATTTCACCTGCACTGCGGGGAGCTTTGGATGGACTTTCAGGCAAATCAAGTAGCGGAAAGGTTTAGGATTGCTACCCAATGGGTGCCCTCTGCGTTCACACTCCCTTTGCTTCCTTATGCATCGAGTAGGCACACGCTTGGATTTACTGGGACCTGTGGTTGGCTGATAAGGAATTGCTCCCTGTGCAGAAGACTCTCAAAATCTTATTGGAGGGGGCCTGGCCACAGAACTACTGTATCTGTGGCAAAGTTTCCGCATTCTGCCATGAAAACGTGGACTGAGATAACGTGCGGTGTATAATTTACTCAGATTCTAACCTTTTAACTGTTAGAGATATTAGGACGAGTGATGTATGGAGAGGTTTTATGTAGATAATTAATTTTATATTGGTGTTTTTAATCTGTTTTTACTCGGCTTCTGAATGGCCCGTGGGCCGTAATAAAGACTGACTGGCTGGTTCTAAGTAGCAGCAGTATAGTTCAGCGGCAAGTGCCAGCATTGCTTGATTCCTACCTGCTCGCCCGGTACAAAGGAGCAGATAAAAAAAGTCCCTAGAGAAACCTTCACTGCTCTTCAACTTCTTCTGAAAGGTAGCCCTGGAATGTGCCAGGTATAGTGGTTAGGAGCATGGATGCTAATCCCCACTCCTCTACATGCAGCTGCTGGTGTGACCTTGGGTCCACCATAAGTTCTTTCAGAGCTGTTCTCTCAAGGACACTTCTCCAAAGACCTCTCTCAGCCCCACCTTCCTCACAGGGTGTGGGGAGGGGAAGGGGAAGGAGACTGTAAGCCACTCCAAGACTCCTTTGGGTAGTGAAGGGCGGGGTATAGATCCAGTCTCTTCTTTTTCTTTGTCGTCTTCTTCTTCTTAGGGAAGGGTGTGTGTGTGGGGGGGGAACAATGGGACCATAGCAACGATGCATGTAGGGGATGTAGCTTTTGTGAACTAGCTGTGACAGCAGGGATGCCAGTTCCAGATTGGGAAATACCTGGAGATTGGTAACCCTATCTGACCAGAGGGAGCGTCCACTCTCAAAAGCTCATTCTCTGAAAACCTTGTTCGTCTCTAAGATGCTTCCAGACAACTAGAATCTAGTTGTTCTACGGTAGACCAACATGGCTGCCCGCTGAAACAGTCTTTACGAAGGGGAAATTGTGCATGAACCAATGTAAGAAGACGAATCCTGTGCTCGAGCAAGCTAACCACCCTGAAAACCTGTCCTGGGACATCGGGGACACTGCTTGCTTTAGCAGAACAGGGATCCCACCTCCCCATTCCAGCCGTTACCTCTTTTTTCTGTGGTGATGACCGTGGCTTCCAAGGGCTCACCCCAGCCCTGACGGGTCTTGGCGGATGCTCGGAAGATGTACGCCGATTCGGGGAGGAGGTCCGTGGCCATAAACTGCCTGACCGTGGAGCCAACTTCCACCGTGGTGAACTTGTTGGGGCTGCTGCTTGCCAAGCGGTATGCGATTTGATATCCTGGGTTTTTAAAAAAAGAAAGAAAGAGAGAAAAGAAAAACAGCGGGGTTGAGTTTGTTTCCCCCCCAATTCTTTCTCTTTTTTTAATTGGGGGAAAACTGCCAAAGACCATGAGTGCATTCTAATTACTTATTTATTTGAAGGCAAAAACCCCCAAACACAATGCAATTTGCTGCTTTTAGTGTTTACCAGCTGAGTTTTATAACATCCCTCCCCATCCACCGGGTCCGATGCAGTACATTATCCGGGAAATTACTGGCTCGGCGATGAATCGGAGAAGGCCTTCTGAGCGATAATCCGCCGTGAAATTTGCTTCACATTTCATTCCTTAAAAGAACCGAGATACGAGAACAGTTTCATCTTCCCGAAGCATATTGATGCGCTGTGAAAACGCCACGGATACCAAAAAGAAGTACACGCTGCCCGTTTCGCCTCCCTGCCCGCTTCTCCCCTCCCGAGAGTGCAGCTAGAGAGAGGCAGGGTTGTCTGAGAGTGCAGAGAAGTTCCTCTGAACAACAGATCTAATGTTATCTTTCCACCAAATCCAGGCCCCGGAGAGGACCCACACCTCACAGATGGAGCCCATGATTCCAAAACTTCACAAAAGAAAATAGGGTCATGCTTGCAACATTTGGAATACTGTGTGCAGTTCTGGTCACCACACCTTAAAAAGGATAGTATAGCTTTGGGAAAAGTGCAGAAAAGGGCAACTCGAATGATAAAAGGGTTGGAACACTTTCCCTATGAGGAAAGGTTAAGGCGCTTAGGGCTCTTTAGCTTGGAGAAACGACGGCTGAGGGGTGACATGATCGAGGTTTACAAGATCATGCATGGGAAAGAGCAGGTAGAGAAAGAGGTACTTTTCTCCCTTTCTCACAATACAAGAACTCGTGGGCACTCCATGAAATTGCTGAGCGGTCGGTTTAGAACGGATAAAAGGAAGTACTTCTTCACCCAAAGAGTGATTCACACATGGAACTCACTGCCACAGGAAGTGGTGGCAGCTCCAAGTATGGACAGCTTCAAAAGGGAATTACATAAGCATCTGGAGCAGAGGTCCATCAGTGGCTCTTAGCCACAAGGTATAGATGGGGACTCTGGGGCTAGGAATGCTCAGTCTTCTTGGTGCTTGGGGGGGGGCAACAGTGTGAGGGCTTCTACTGTCCTGGCCCCACTGGTGGACCTCCTCCCAGTGTTTTTGGCCCCTGTGTGACAGAGTGTTGGACTGGATGGGCCTTTGGCCTGATCCGACATTGAAGAAGAAGAGATTGGATTTATACCCCGCCCTTCACTCGGAGTCTCAGAGCGGCTTACAAACTCCTTTCCCTTCCCTTCCCCACAACAGACACCGGGCTGTGAGGTGGGTGGGGCTGAGTGAGAGAACTGCTCTTTCAGGAACAGCTGTGCCAGAGCTTGTGACTGACCCAAGGTCACACCAGCAGCTGCAAGTGGAGGAGTGGGGAATCAAACCCGGTTCTCCCAGATTAGAGTCCACACACTTAACCACGACACCAAACATTGGCGTCTCTTATGTTCTTACGTTCTTACCCCCAGTAGCTGATGGGTGGAGCTTTGGCTATGTAAAGTTTATACCCCCAAAATCTTGTTGGCCTCTTAAGGGGCTACTGCTGGTTCTTCTAGTGCAGACTGACATGGCTACTCTTGAAAACCCAATTTTAGAATCATGGAATCATAGAGCTGGAAGGGACCTCCAGGGTCATCTCGTCCAGCCCCCTGCACAATGCAGGGAATTCACAAATACCTCCCCTCCACACACTCCAAGTGACCCCTGTTCCATGCCCAGAAGATGACCAAAAAACAAACAAAAAACCCTCCAGGGTCACTGGCCACTTACTTGCATCCACTCCTGACAACTCTAACAACTCGCACAACTTTTTAAATCTTAAAACACACACACACCCAAGCAACAACTTTGCCTTCAACGTATCTGCCCTTTCCTGAACCGGCTGTTTGACCTTAGCCACACTCGGGCAGCCTACCTGAAAACACACTGCATTTACACACCATGGAGGTTCAATTCTATGATGAAGTTGGCACCAAGGCTTCAGTAAATGATGCCTACCAATTGCCAGGAGTGCACGAGCGGTCTTGGCAGTGGCATAGTCAGCACACAGCATGCTTCTGTCCGCACAGCCTGAACAGTTTCGATTCTAAAACAAATCTGAACACAAGAAGGTGCCTTATACTGAACCAGACTCCTGGTCCATCAGGGTCAGTATTGTATACTCGGGCCCCGGCCACACGTGCTGGAAAATGCGGGGGGGGGGAGGCATGGCTATTTGCGCTGTCGCATTCTGATCCGCCATTATACGATCAGATGTGACGGTGGCGCACCGGGGTTTCGTCCTTCGGAGCGCGCTGCAAAGCGGCCGGCCGGAGGGAACAGGTGCGCGCCGGCGCAATCACACCAAACGAGTCCGTCTGCAGCCTGTGGCAAACCATTTGCTAGTAGATCTTTGCAGGTACTTTTTAACTGCGCATATTCGGCGGCACGGCACGGGTTGGCCACAGGTGCGCTACGCTAGCCAGATGTTGCGGTGTGATCGTGCCCCGAAAATCTGCCCAGCATTCATGCCTTTCGCACGGCAAATTCTCCGTGTGACCAGGGCCTCAGACTGGTAGTGGCTGTCCAGGGTCTCAAGGAGAGGTCCTTCCCATCATCTACTGCCAGATGCTTTAACTGGAGATGTTGGGGATCGAACCCGGGACCTTCTGCATGCTTCCCATGGCATCCACCTCCAATTCTTGTAAATGCACATGGTTAGAAACAGATTCACATTTTGAAAAGCGACCTGCAAGCCAGGTATCTTAATACCCACATATGACTCCCCCTTTCCTAAACCCCCTCCCCGGCTCCACCCCACAAATCTCCTGGTATTGCCCACCCACCCAGAGCTGGTACCCTACCTTCAGCTCTAAGTGAACATTAACGACTGTCCCTGATGAACCAGACCAAAGGCTGACCTTGCCTGACATTGTGTTCCCAGCGATGGCCGGCCACTCATTTTCGGAAAACTTACATGTGGCCCATGAAGGCATCAGTCCTTGATACTGGATTGCCTGCCTTCCGTATCTGTACAGACCTGTAAAAATAAACTAGCTCAAAGTTGTTGGAAATGAAGCTTGGAAGCAGCTTCTGACAAACGTCATGATTATCTCGGGGAGGCATGGTGATTCTGATGGTAGTGACGGGGAAAGCATTTCTACGTCGCTTGGGATCTCGTCCCATGGCCTTTGGCCTTGAGGGATGACCGACCAAGCAGGACACAACTGAAGCCGCACTACGACTAACTGGACGAGGGACAGCTGGAACCAGCGAGGGAGTCGAGAGAACCCCACTCGCTTTGTAAACTTTCCCAGACATTATCGTCCGACACATTACCAAAAAGCCATCTCCGCGAGTCAATGTATCCAACGGAACAGACTGTGCCTTTTGTCCCCGAAGAGGAAGCGCCAACTGTTCAAACTCATTCGGAGAGGCCTCGCCAACACGCCAGGTTCGCTTTTCTTCTGGAGCTTATTGGAAAGTCGGCCCAGCTGCTAAACCCCAAAATCAATTTCTATCCGAGATGGAGGGATGGCTTTGCTGCAGCCGCGGACCATTAAATGCTCCATCAAGTTACATGGCGGGGGAGCGCGGGCCGGGGAGGGCACGGCAGCCAAATGAAACCCCCAAACAGATGCAGCTGAACTCGGTCGTGACAGACATCTGCCAGCCCTCTGACCATCCTTTGAACTCCAAAGAGCTCTGCAGGCATTGTGTTCTTCCAGACGGACGAGATAGCCCTGCTGTGCTTTGGACAATCACTGGGTTTGGGTTGTCGCAAAAGAAAAGGATCTGGAAACAGAAGGGAATGGAGGATGGGAGAGGGACGCCAGTGACATGGAGGCCACGAGAGCGGATAGACGCTATCCTCTTCCCCTCTGCGAGGATGCTGCATGCAGAAACTAGCATGCTCGCTGGCAGAGCCAATTCCATGCTCTGCTATGTATCCCTCTGCAAACTTTTCAGTTTAATGGGGATACAGATGGTGCTAGTTGTGTGTGGTGGGGCTGACCGTGCTTTTACGGATAACCTCTCCCTATATGTCACTGTCTCCTCTGCTCGGGAGGAGACGGGATCATGTGTGTCAGCCGGATGAGAAAGCGGATGCTTCCTTCCCCCTCCCCAGTCAATGTGTCACGTCTCTGGTAGACTCCGCTGCTTCAGAGACACCAGAGGAGAGGACCGCATTTCGGCCGATGCTCGACAGCCGACAAGATTTGAGAGCGAGTCCCATGGCGGAAGGCTCGGCTTGGAACTGGGACGCAGGCAGATGAAAGAGATTAGAAGGCCGTATATATTCAAACTTGGCTCGGTACAAACCGAGCATCTTGGCAGGCGGCGTTGCCAGAGCACCTGAACCACGGGCGGAAGCCAAGCAGGACTGCTGGAGCGCAGCAATGGCAAAGGGGGAAAAAAATCACAAGCCGGGTTGGGAGCAGGGCTTTCGCCGCCAGCCTTTAGACGCGGACGCAAGGGGGGAAGAATTGGCCGAGAGAAAATCAGATCAAAAGATCAAAAGCTTAGAAGGAGTTTTTAGAGAATCCAACTTGGAAGGGTCTTAGCAGCCGTTCCCCTCGTTAAGCTTTTAAGCTGCCTCTTTCGTAATTAGTGTATAATTTTGGTCGGAGCTGGTGCGACACGCATTTCGCTGTCTGGGTTCGCTCACCCTTCATCCCCTGCTCCCCCTCTGTTGCCCACTCCAGCGGTTCATCCTCCTCATCCTCTGTTCCCCACCCAAATCCCTCAATGAAAATACCGGCGCAAACCATGCGTGTCCCGTCGTGCTTCTGAAACTCCCGTGGGAATCCTTCCTCTCACAAATATCTGACCATCATTTCAGTTGCCCCAGCAACCCCGTTGACTACTGTGGCTGGTTTGGGAATCAAAAAATGAGGGGCACCGAGCCTTGATCTGGACAGGCCAGGAAAGCCCA